CTTACATTTAAAATTGTCTAAATAAGTACGGTCTTAAGATATCATGAATCAATTAGAAAGCTGTATTAGTATCTTTAAGATTGCTTACGACGGTCTTAAAACAAGAACCAACTATGAATATCGGCTATATTTTTTTCTTATGATTCAATATCAGATAATTTTAATTGTACAAAAAATACAACGTACTCGTGAGCAAAATCAGGGGATGCACTGGAATGATCAAATTACCGACATTACAGTCATATAAAAATCTCGGAATTAACTGAACGGAAAATCAAAAATCTTTTTACAGAGTTAAAGTAGAAGCAAAATTATAGGAGGTGGTATAGTGGATTTTAATTATACTAAAATCGGAAAAAAGTTAAAAACTTATTTAACTTTTTTTTTATTTTAGTATAAAGTCCACTGCACGCCATCTCCTAATTTTGTGTCTACTTAATCTTGTAAAAGGATTTTTTGCTCTGTGTGTGTGTGTGTGTGTGTGTGTGTGTGTGTGTGTGTGTGTGTGTGTGTGCGTGCGTGCGTGTGTGTGTGTTCATCTATTCAGAGATTTTTATATGACTGTAATGTCGATAATTTGATCACTCTAACATCCCCTTAAATATCGTCAAGGGTTGCCGAGCGAGAACAAAAAAGTTTTTGAAAATTTTTGACCGCGCCTTTCATAATACTGGCTAGATCGACCCTTGTGATGGAAACGATCTACACTTTATTCGCGAGGAATCTTAGGAATGTTCTTAGAATATTCAAAGGACATAGGCCGATGTTCATAGTCGAGTCTTATATTTAAGACTGTCTTAAGTACAGTCCTAAGATATCATGAACTAATCAGAGTGCCACATTAATGTCTTCAGACGTACATTACTTAAGACTGCTTAAAATAAAAATGAATTATGAATACCGCATTGCCATGAAGATGTCCTAGTAACGATTTTAGGACGTCCCTTGGAGATCTGTGTTGTACAGAGAGGCCATTACATATAAAGCAAAAGAAAAAGGAAAACGAAAGGAGAAACAGTCCAGATCGTTTTTGGTTTGACATCTGCATATATTTTCACTGAATTTATATTTTGTATAGTAATTCCGGGTATTGTTTTACACTTTTCTCGTAACGGAAACAAAGAGGATGGCCGCGATAACGATCGGTATATCGTAGCTGAATATCAGACATAATCCGCCCGGAGGATTATGGAGCTTCTGTTTGCGGCTAGCTTACTCGCTCTCGGAGCATATTGTTGAAGGCTGGTAGTGCACACAGGCACGTAGCATGAACTACGCACGAGCGACGGAGGTCTACAAATATATCATGCGAGCGTTGTACGTTATGTGCGTACAGTGGACGGCTTGGTTGCTTGAAAGTTGCGATCACCAGTTAAATTTGAAAGAAGAGTTAAATTTGAAAGAAGCGTGCGCTCTCGAGAGCGATCAGGCCTCGCATCCTCCCTCTTTTTGTCGGCAGGACCGTACACGAATTGGGCCCTTTGGATGCCCTACAATTACTTTTTCCCCGTAGAGTAGCGATCGTGTATATAATATTTCTTTCTTAAAGTGGAAACGTAAAAAGTGAAAATTTTTATGATTAATGGTAATCCTTGCAGAATTCTAATACTGACCAATACTGAAAGAGAGAGAGAGAGGCTAATTATTTATTTTGAGTATTAAAAGCATTGTTGACTGTTTCGTACTTTTAATAGTAATTGATTGCTGCTTTTCAATAATAAATTGGTCAATATTAAATAAATCAGTGTTAAAAAAAAATTTCTGTAAGAGAATAAAAAATTTTTCACGTTTTTGTCGTAGAAAAAAAATTGCATGAATACTACCCAGAAGTGTATGAATATAAAAATGTTATTTTATACAATATTTGGTGAAAACTTTGTGTAATATACATATAAAAATATACATTTGTAATATTATTTTATTCATTTTGCCTGGATTATAACAACATATTATAACATATTTTTAAAAATATAAAAATTGATAATTACACGTATAGTTTTACTCATAATCATATTACAATGCGCATTGTAAAAAGGTATATAGATACTGTAAAATTGTGTTAGATACACAAATTTACCTACTATGTGTGTGTGTGTGTGTGTGTGTGTGTGGTGTGTGTGTATGTATATATATAAAACGATGCTGTAATCAATCTATTTTTCTATTACGTTAAAAAATTATATATTATAATTTATACTATAAATTCAGCTTAAAACGTACAACTTGCATAAAAGCAACTCAGGTAAAATTTTTTTCTGTAATAAAATTTAATTATTTTAAACTTTATAATAAGGTATTCAAGTAATTATAGTAATTGTTTTGTAAAATATAAAAACGTTGATTATATTTTTGAATAAAAATATCATAATATCTGTCAAAATCTCAATATATTACAAAATATAACAAAAAATTTATTAAAACTATTTTTATTAAAATATTTATAAAAAGTGTAATCAATAAAAACCTCTGAAATATCTATCCTTTTCAGTTTCATTTATCAGATTTAAAGAGAAAATATTGAATCTAGAAAAAAAGAGCACACAAAAAATCGATAGATTAGAAGAATTATAAAATGTATTTATTTGTTGTTAGTGTAGGTAATATCCAAAGATTTAATGTTATTAATTCGTAAGTAATAAACATTTATAGTAATATTTATTAGTAATATTAATTAGTATTTGATTTCTTAACGAAACCAAAAAATTGCCATAATTATTTTTAATTATTATTTCCAAATTGTGCATTTGTGTGTATAAAGACATTGTTTTGTAAATAAAAGACGTATTTATCATTTTAACGTCCAATCACATAATTTAAGTACAAAATATTGTATTGTGCACGGATGAGCAGTGATATCTGGCGATTTAGATACTGCCCTGCGACGTGGTGCTCATGCTTTCTACGTATCACGAACTGCGCAGATACGTCATCGAGCGAGAGCGTCGTTCAGTGGAGCGAACGTAGGACACATGCACAGTTTATATTTCAGCTTGTAAAGTTTTCGCGCTCTTTCCGAGCGACCTCCGTTTTCGACAGTGACACGTGAACTTGTCGTGACGACGAAAATTATTCGTCGATCAGACTCGAACGAACATCGGCTTCATGCGTGGTTAAGAAGATAATAACAGAAAGAAAGAGACAGAACAAGAAAGATAGAGAAAGAAATGTTCTCGTGGACGCGGCTTAAAACTACCAGGTACGATCAGGAGTGGATCAAATCGATTGAGAATCCCTGCACTTATTGCAAATTTATAATAAAGAATTAAATCACATGTGTTGTATATTTTGTTCGTCTGTTCCTACAAATATATTTAGGACAGAGTAGACTCGTCAGTTAGACTTTTTTATTTTATTTTACAAAAAAAAGTTTTGAATATTTTTATTTGAAAATTACCCTTTGATTCTTCCATTCATCTACAAAGATTTGAATAAGGATACAAAAAATGTTATTTGTAGAAACACTGATTTTATTTGAAATCCTACGGACTTTTTCCACGCATTAATTTCACATAGAAATATTGATGATTCTCTATTAATTTCTATAAAAAATTTTTCTTTATAAAGATAGAAACAATTTTTCTCAGAACTCGAATAGCGAATAAAGACGGTAATCGATTACTTTTTTAAAAGTTTAATAACGTTAGTCGCGCTGCTTGTATACGTAGATATGTGAATAATCATTTTAGAAATATTTAATAATTAAATAATTCCACAATAAGAAAGTAATAATTTTAACATAAAATAAAATTAAACGAATTTCACGATACTTTATTAAATAAATAACTGCTGATTATATTACAATATATCTTTAAAATTCAATTCGTTTGCGTTTAAAACTTGACGATTCAAAACAGTGGCTACGTTCAGCAAAGCCAACAACTTTACAACTAAAATTATTGTAAAATTCTTTAATATGATTTATATATTTAGATCAATAAGAAACCAAAAGTAAAAACTACTTATATTGAAGAATTTTACAATAGTTTTTAAATAGAGAATGTTATAAAGCTGTTTTTTTTCTGAACGCAATCATTGTTAACTTAATTAATTTTTGCAATTAAGTTAAAATATCTGTAAAATGTTATTAACATAATAAATAGACGGAACATTTTCTTGTCAAATATGTATATTTGAAATTTTTCCATAAGCAATTCTCTTAACCCTTTGAGGGGCAGTGGGAAATATACTTCCCACCTTTTTTTTCATTTTTGGAATGTACTCTGCTCACTTTAATGAAATCAATTATGATTTTACATTTTTGATATATTATTACTTATTTGACATATTTTCCATGGGGATTATACCCAATTCTTTTCTAATCATTTATAAAGAAATAAAGTTGAAAAAAAAAGTTTTTTTTAATAAAAAAAATGTGGTTTCTTGAAAAGTATTTAAGATAAGAGGCTGAAACTTTTATTGAATATTCTTCATATTAAAATATCATCATTCTCTTCATGTCAAAATATAATGTACTTATATTTTTTTCAGAATTTTTTGCACGCTAGATTTTTTATAAAAAATTATTGGTCTACTGTGTGAAAAAAATTATACTATATATGTAACAAGTTTTTTGAAAACTAAAATGCAATTTCGTGGAAGCTATAATCTAAATGCTAATATAACTGTCATTTCAAATTTTTGAAATCTGACTTTAGACTTGTAATCAAGCGATCCGAAAACCTGCAAGGAATTTCAGGAATTTGTCGGATACAAAAAATGTGTCCCTCGAAGGCTTAATTAAATCAATTATCGATCACACACATAAATGATCAATGTTTCGTTGAAGTCAACTTAGACTACGGTTATCATATTATTATCTGAATCACAAGAGAAGAGTACATATGTATATTTAAAAAAAAATACGATTCATGAAGGAAGAGGTATATTTTTTTATTACATAAGACGTAGGTATTTAATAAAACTTTTAAAACATAATTTTTTATTAATATAATTTTATAAATATAAAATGATTAAAAAGTTTTACAACCTGAAAAAGAATACATGTACTCTCCCTCTCTCTTAAGGGTACAGCTGGTAACCCTAGTCTAGGCATTACTTTCCGCAGGACACGGCCCTGGCGCAGTAATGCGTCTGTCGTCTAGGTTGAGAACCTCCGGAGTGTTTCCAATCCCGAAGGCGATGTCCAGTGCTGCGTTTTGTCGTCGTGGTGGTCGTTTCTGCGCCGCTCGTGTGTACCCGGTGACTCGGCGATCGCGGCGTCACACTTAACGTTCGTCTAGGACGTAAGCGTCTCGACCTGCGCAACTTCGTAGTGAAACTGTTTCGCTCGTGTCGCACGCGGTACTTGTCTCGAATCGCGGATTACGTGTACGTAATCCTTGACTATAACGTCGTCCTCGTCGACGACGACGACGACGTGCGTGCGTGCGTGCGTGCGTGCGCGCGCTCTCGGCATCGACGAAGTGAGACATCGAGTGTGCGTGTGTGTGGTGCTCTGTAAAAGAAAGATAGAAAAACGGAAAGGACGAAAGGGAAAGAGAACAGACGCGCATAGAGAGTTTTAGCGCGTGATGTGTTTGTGCCCGTGATTCTTGTTGGGAAAAAAAAAAGGTGCGAAGAGGAAGAAGGGAGAACGTTACATACAGAGAGAAGGACGGAAATATCCAAGATCCGATATAAAGAGCGCGGGAGGAAAAAAGAAAGAGAGAGAGAGAGAGAGAGAGAGAGAGAGAGAGAGAGAAAGAGAAAGGCAGAAGTGGCGGCGCCGCTTCTTTTCGCTTGTCGTTCTCGAGGGAGGGCGGAGGAGAGAGTACCTCCGTCTCTCTCTCTTTCTCTCTCTCACCGAGCGTGTGGTTGTGATCCCTCCGCTCCACTCCCCCTCCCCCTCCTCTTTTTCTCTCTCTCGCGTTCCCTCGTCGGCCCCGTCCGCGCGGTAGTGGCAGGTAGAGGCAGAGGAGAGGAGGCGCGCGAAGCGAGAAACCGAGAGACGAAGCGAATGCGAGGGCGCATCTCAACGAGGTAGAGGAGGACGAGAGTGGCGAGGAAGCGGGAAGCGTCGGCATCGAGACGCCCGGCGACTGACTACCTGCTGACGGTGCCGGTCCGATTAAGCACGCGCGCGCGCGCGCACGCAGTTTGTCACGTTACGTTGCTGCTACTCCTGTGTTATTGCTGTCGCTGGTGGTGTTGGTGTTGACGTTATTGGCACTAGTGATCGGCGGCTGCTCCGTGTGTGGGGAAAATGGGATACACGGCGAGTCGGGCGGTTTAACATAATAGTGTGTGTCGCCTGCTTTGACGGCGGTGGCGACGACGATTGCAACGACGGCGGCGACGACGGCGGTGACGGTGGTG